CATTGAGCACTAGGAACTGAAAATTTTGACCGAGCTATTACATAGCGAGGCTGGCAAAAACCCTCTAGCTGAACCCTCCACGAGGGTGCCGACTGGGCAATGGACACTGCATTATCCCGGGCGAGGATAATGCACTGTCGCTGGCGAGGTCGAGAAGGACCTAGGTCTGGAGACCATAGTGGAGGCCGCCCATGGTCTTGCGCTGGACGACTCGGAGGAGGAGGAGGATGGTGACCTGACAATCATAATCAACCCGTCGTGCGAGGTTGAGTTAGCCACCCATGACACTAAGGGTGCTGCAACTCAATCTCCATAAAAGCAAGGTAGCGTCGGCGGAGCTCCTCATTGCCATGGAGCAGGGGCCCGCCGACATAGCTTTAGTCCAGGAGCCGTGGATTGCGTCAGGCAACTCTGTGGCCGGACTAAAGTCCTCAAATTACAGCCTTCTCTACTCAACATCGGTAAGCAGGAACAGAACCGCCGTACTCGTACGGAAGGGAATCCATGCTCATCTTATGTCTCATTACAGCACGGATGACCTGACGGTGGTGATGCTGGAGAGCGAGGAAAAGCGCCTAATGGCAGCTTCCTGCTACATGGCACACGACAGGCCCGCCCCACCGGAAGAACTTAGGAATCTGGTGACAGAAGCCGGCTCCAAAAATCTCCAACTCCTCATCGATGCAGACGCCAACGCCCATCACAATGTGTGGGGAAGCCCTGACACCAAAGATAGAGGTGAGTCACTCCTAGACATTATTTTATCCACTAAGTTAGACGTAGCAAACGTGGGGGAGGAACACACCTTCGTGTGTCCCACCTCGTCAAACGTGCTAGACCTAACTCTTGTCACGGGAAAGAGTACCTTGGTATCTGACTGGAGAGTCCTCGAAAGACCATCCTTCTCAGACCATAAGTACATTCAGTTCAAGTGCGAATTCAAACAGATAACAGTCTATAGAAACCCCCGGAACACAAACTGGGTAAAGTTTAAAAAGACAGTTACTTCGAAGCTCGCGAATCCGGGCTCAGTGAAATCCGCGGAGGATATAGAGAAGTCCCTAAAGACCCTATCCAACGAGTCACTGAACGCCTACCGTGAATCGTGCAAACCCTCGAGAACGAAGAGGAGGTCCAAGCCACTATGGTGGAACCGAGATCTCTCTCTCCAAAGGAACAACCTCAAGGAATTCTTCAAGATCGCCAAACAAGCGAACGAAGAGATTGTCAATGAGGAATATAAAATACTACTTAGGAGCTACAAGAAGGAAATACGTAAGGCACAAAGAAACTCGTGGAGAAACTTCTGCTCCGACATTGAGAAAGTGCCCGAAACCGCTAGGCTCCGGAAGCTGCTCTCAAAGCAGCCCACAGTACAGAGCCAACTAAAACTAGACAACGGACAGTGGACAGAGGGCAGTAAAGAAGCCCTAACAGCACTAATGGAGGCGCACTTACCTGGATGAGCATCAGGACCTAGCAACTGAGGAACAGCACCCCCCATTAGGTCTGTTAACCACTAAGAGAATCCACTGGGCCATAGACTCCTTCGCGGCCATAAAAGCACCAGGACTGGACGGGATATTCCCAGCCATGATGCAGTTGACCAAAGAGGTTATTACCCCATGGCTCCTCGCAATATACTCAGCATGCCTAAGTACGGGCTATATCCCCATCCAATGGAGAACCTCGAGAGTTGTCTTCCTCCCTAAGGCAGGAAAGTGCAGCCACGTGAGTCCCAAGGATTACAGACCGATAAGCCTTACCTCCTTTATACTAAAAACACTAGAAAAGCTGTTGGATTTGCACATCAGGAATGAGATAGAGGGACTGATGTCAACAAACCAACACGCCTACACTAAAGGGAAATCAGTGGAGACGGCACTACACTCGCTAGTAGCCACCATCGAGAGCGCCCTTCACAACAAAAAGTATGCTTTGGGAGCATTTGTGGACATCTCAGGAGCATTCAACAACGTGGCCACAACCGCAATAACAAGACGCCTAGAAGCGAATAACATACACCCTGCAATCAACGTCTGGATCAAAAACCTCCTAAGTTGTAGACGGGTGCAATCGGAGTGGGGCACTGCTTCCATGGTAAAGGGGGCACACAGAGGCACACCTCAAGGTGGAGTCCTGTCGCCACTACTGTGGAATTTGGTGGTCGACGACCTCATTAAGAGATTTGAAAGGAAGGCCCCAAAAATAACAGCTTATGCCGACGACATAAGCATACTTATTACGGGTGTCTGTCCATCGACCCTCAGCTCCATAATGGAACGTACACTCAGGGAGATACGTTAGTGGGCGGAAGAGGTAGGACTCAGTATCAACGCGGACAAGACGGACCTCATCCTCTTTACCAAGAGGTACAAGGTACCGATATGGACCCCCCCGAAAATTGACCAAACTAGACTGGCTCCAAAATCACAGGTGAAATACCTAGGCACAGTACTGGACAGCAAGCTGGCATGGAGGCCCAATGTAGTGGAAAGGGTGAAGAAGGCTACCATTGCGCTTTATGCATCCAAGAAGATGCTCAGCAGCACATGGGGCCTGTCACCTGCTCTAATGCACTGGATCTACATCTCGGTGGTGCGACCAACTCTGCTGTATGGAGTTTAGTGTGGTGGCAGGCTATTGAAAAGAAGACATACCATAAGCTTATGGAAAAGACTCAGCGACAGGCTCTGCTCTGTATTACAGGGGCGCTGAGATCAACCCCAACAAAAGCACTCGAAACCGTACTCGGAATCGACCCCCTGGACATTCACGCTCGCCTGATTGCGGGAAAGGCAGCACAACGCCTCATAGCATCAGGAAATCTATCGCCACAAGGATACGGGCATAATTCAATCGGCAGGGAAATGACCAGATCAACTGATTACATGACCCCCCAAACATGCCTCGACGTAAAAACAACTGCATCTGGTCAGTTCCCGAAGTGTCTTGGCGAGCAGGGAGGCATTAGACATCCTAAGCACGACAAAGACAGTGCGGATCTATTGGGTTCCCGGCCACCAGGACATCGAAGGAAACGAAGCGGCGGACGTACTAGCTAAGGAAGGCGTCGGGCTGGAGAATAGGAGAACCGAGAACGTGCCTGTCTCGCTTAGAACGCTGCAATGCGATCTAGAGAAGCAGGCTAGAACACAGACTGATAGCAGGTGGAACAGTACCACCACCTGCAGAACCTCGAAGATAATGTGCAAGGAACGCAACGAGAAACTTAGCCACTACCTACTGCACCTACCATGAAAGAACTGTAGATTGCTAGTGGGAATACTTACAGGTCACTGTCTGGCTGCTGCACATGCAGCTAAGCTAGGAATCACCAACAGAGACAGTTGTAGGAAATGTGACGAACCTGGGGCTATCGAAACCCTGGAACATCTCATCTGCTACTGTCCGGCTCTGTCAAGGGCAAGGAGGAGATACCTGGGCGCCCCAGTGCTGGCATCACTGGAAGATGCCTCCAAAAGGACGCCACAGAAACTGCTGGCGCCCTCTAGTGGGCGGAGGGGCTCGGGTTAAGAACCCTATGGTCGGATCCGATACAAAGCACAGATCAAGCAATCGACCCAAGGAATTTTTCACATGATTGACTTGAGACAGGGACAGGAAATGCAATGTAAACAACATTGAATCTTGTACCCGACATCCTGCGTAATGCTGACGCGGCGACTTCGCAATACATTAGCCATTATAGCCATTACATTATATACTTTGCATCTTATATACTAAGACAGAGAGCCTCTGTGAAAGCTTGTTAAGAATATATCGGACGAAGCCCACTACATTTTAACTTGGAACTTTAAACATATAGTGCTGTAGTGCATATCGTTGCCGTGTGTACTAAGTTAAAACCTTAATTAATCTGTGTAACCTTGCCGACATCAAGTGCTGATCACCGCAATTGCTAAAAAAAAAACGACGGGAAACGTTGTGACTTGCTGCTGAGACCGCAAGTCTACATTTATATCCGATATTTAGTCAGTATGGCTCTCCTCCGGCAGACGCCGCTAATATTGAACGACACAACAAAGAGTGCGTACGAGAGAGACAGAAAATCAGTCTGAGCGTGTCATCGGGCGCTGCGTAGCCACTGCCAATTTATTTGTTCCTTTTGGCTATAAAAATGATCCGATCTGATATAGATCAGCAATCTGATATATATGGTCATTCTCTATGACTGTGCGTTTTTAGTTTTCTCGAATCTTCAATATTGCGGACCCCACAGATTTTCGTCTTTTATGGGGCCGTTAGGGGGTGGTGCAAAATCTTGAAATATACGTTTTATAGGGAGATCTAACAGAAGTGTGAATACCAATTTTGGTTGCTCTGAGATCTAGGCGCTCACTTTCAGTGATAGGCCAAGCCGACCATGAAACGTGTGTATTAGAGAGAGACAGAGCGAGAAAGAATGAAATTGTTTTCTTCATTCTGGTTATAATAATGATACGATCTTTTTTCTGCCTTCTATAAGATATAATCATTCTCTTTCTTTCTGCGTTTTTGGTTTTCTCGTATCTTCACAATTGGCATCCAATAGATTTTCGTCCGGGGGCGGAAGGGGGCGGGGCGAAGTTTAGAAATACACTTGTGACAGTGACATATCAAAGAAGTCTGGATACAAAATTTCGTTGCTCTAGCTCTTATAGTCCTAGGCGCTCATAGGGACGGTCAGACGGACGGACAGACGGACAGACAGGCATGGCTCAATCGCTTCGGCTATTGATGCTGATCAAAAATATATAAACTAAGAATATATATACTAACACACATCCATTTTCACCACAAATCTAATATACCCCAATACTAATTTTGACTATCAAGTATAAAAATAAGAGCAAACAATATTCGTACAAATAAATATAATATATTTTTTATTTTTTTTTTTTTTTTTTTTTTTTACACTTAAAAGTTTATTGTTTCTCAGTGGACAGGCAGATAGTCATTGCCCGTTCGAATCATTGATGTGTACTTAAAGTCTCCACCTTATAGCATAGGTCTTGTGCGCTGCTGCTAGGCTGTGTTCTCTAACCCTGCTTCTGGGCCAGCTCACGGGCCTTGGCGCGCTCCAGCTTGGCGATGCGGGTAAGACTCTTCGAGCCGAGGATGCCACCGCCCCAGTGACGACGGATCTCCTCGTGGCGCTCGTTGAAGTTGGTCTTGACGGCCTCCAGGACCTTGCTGAAGTTGGCCTTGTCGTTGTTGTCAACGCTGGTCAGGGCCAGGGTGGTGCAGGTCTTGCGGCGGACGAGGCGTCCCAGGCGAGCCTTGCCCTTCACAATGCAGTAGGGCACACCCATCTTGCGGCACAAGGCGGGCAAGAAGAGCACCAGCTCCAGGGGATCAACATCGTGAGCGATCACAACCAACTGGGCTTTCTTCTGCTCAATCAGCTTAGTGACGGTGTTGGTGCCGGCCGACAGATAGCTGGGCTTCTTCTTGGGCTCCACCTCCTTGCCCTTGGCCTTAGCCTCGGCGATTTTCTTGAGGCGCTGCTTCTTGGCCAGGGGAGACTCCGGGCGGTACTTCTCCAGCAGCTTGAATAGCTTGACCGCGGTGGTCTTGTCCAGGCTCTGGCTGAACTGGTGGATTGGTGGATATATATAGTTAAATATCCGCAACTCGAAATTATGTTTTTAAAAAAGTTTTTATTTTTACAACTTAATATCTTTATGTCACATGATTAGGTTGAATTCCCCGACTTAACTTTACGTCTGCTTGTCTCTTCGTGTCGGTGGCGTACGTGCCTGGACCGATATTTTGGGATGCGTCGGCTTTTGATCAAAGGCATCAGCTGCTGGCGTTCGGTGTTGCATTACATGAGGGAGATAGGAATGTGATACTCTTTGATTTTATGACTAGCTCTGATTGGTCCTCATGAGTGGCATGATTCTACGAATGGATTTCCGGAGAGTGGCGTGATTCTGGCTTGATGAATCAATGGGGTCCATTGCTTATATTATGGGGCCCTAGCTTGGAGTGTGGGAAGAATCAGTTATTGATTCTTCAGTGGTGTCCTGTTACTTGTGTGGATGGGGTGGATGAATTGGACATAAACATGAGTATGGGACATGGAGAATTATGGATATGTCACTCCCCCAACGTTTGCTTTTAGCCTGTCCCTAGGCGATTACCCTCGGGTATAGTGACGGGGTGTCAAGTGCGGTGGCTGAGGTTGGTTCCTCTTCTGCTTCTATTATGAGGTTAATACATTTAACCGTGACTCTTTTAGAAGTTTTCTTAAATTTAACAGCTACATAACTTAGTAGTACTAATATAATTATGACAAATTAAATTAGTAGACTTATTTGTATTAGGTTACTATATTTGGTGTATTGCATAATTATTTCATTAGTTTGGACATACGAAAGTGGTTTTATTTTTGTTATGTTGTTGTTGACATAAACGTTCTGGGCAAAATCTAACATTGTGTTTGATATTGTAAATTCATTTAATTGGATTGAACAGTTGTAGATTTTTATAATGGTATTTCCTTCCGCTATGATTTCTTGGTTTACACAATTCTGGTTTAGCGTTGTTTTTGGAAGATTCCATGTGATTAGTATATTGGGTTCTATAAAGTTTATTTGAAAGCTGAAAGTTTTTGAATATGGACATTTAGTGGGAGTTTGCATTAAAATTCCTTTTATACAATTGTCATTGGTTTTCAGTTTAGTTTCTTTAACAAATACTTCTTCATTTCGTATGCAGTACTTGTCGTATGTGATATTTGTTAACATGTTATTTAATTCGTCTGGATACGGAACGATTTTATAGATTGGAACTTTTGTAATGTCTTTGGGAATGTTGAAAATTATTAAAATTGCGTTAGTATCAGTTTTTAGCCATGTGGAGGTTTTTATATCTAGTATTTTCTTAGAATTTATTTTTTCTAGGTAGTCTTGTTTTAATAATTTTAGATTAAATATACCGAGCCTGGTGAATTGGATACCTATATATCTATATCTTCGATGTATTCTGTGAAATGTTGTAGATTGAATATCAAACTTTCTATTTGTTGATTCCTGTCTTTTTCTTCGTTTAGTTTGTTTATGACGTTTATTCCGATATTTACTGCATCTATTACTAAATTTAGTTCATTCATTTGAATGCTGTGGCTGGCTAAATTTTATATTTTTTGTTCCAAATCGACTTTATCTTCCTGATCTAGTGTGCCAAAGAGATATTTGTAGGCTGTTCCTACTATATTGATTAGGCCTCTTTTATTTCTTTTCGTTATTTTTAGCCCGTTCATTTCTCTTTGCAATTTGTCTACTAGATATTTTATTTGGATTATGTCCTGGAATTTAATAATTGCAATAACAAATTTTGCTATAGCTCTTCAGTTTTAGTTACATTAACAGTTAGATAATGGTATTCGTAATTGATAGGTATGTTAATCGATCCACTTTTGAATATCCTATATCCGTTTTGGGATTTTATAGGATTTATTTCTATGTTTTGGCCCTGTGCCATTACGATGGTTATTATAAGGAAGATGAGGATTTTAACTGTGAAGTTCGCTGATTCCATTAACTTCCTCAGTTTCTCTGGATTTATTATATTTGCTTGTATTAGATTTCTTCTTTTTCTTGAACTTTGATTTATAATGAGTTATTTTCCTAACCCTATTCTTTTCTTCGTCTACCTGTCTAATTTCGCCTGTCCCTTTGACATGGTTCGTTACCTTGGAGTTAACTAGAGGTGACAGCTTATAACGGGTATTTATTTCATAATCCATACGATTTTTATTCAGTTAGGTGATTTTATTCACTTTTTTAAATTGTGTCATAGTCGGGTGTGCCTGCGTAAGAAAAATACCTGCCCGTGTCCCATTCGTGGTAATATGTTTTGTTTTATGATTATAAATATAAAGAATTAATTCAAACTTGGTGAATGTATCTTCTAAATTATCTTCGCTAGATATTATTCTCAGTTTTTCGTTTCATATGCATGATTATATAGAAATCCATAACGTATTTTTCTCTGATATTCAATATCTCTGGTCTATGCCCTGTTTTGGCAATATTACAAGTAGGACATTCGTGTATGATATTTTTAAATTATTTTTGATAATAATAATATTTTCCCCTAAACCAATTGACAGTTTTCTCTATCCCTGGATGGAGTAAGCCTTAATGATTCTTTAATATGGTTTCTTTAAATTCAGAGTAATTTTGAATATCTATAAGTATTGTGCTTGATTTAATAGCTTTGGTTATATTGTTAGAATTAATGATTTCTAAATAGGCCTTTTGGAATGGAGGAAAATCTATTTCGCTATGGAAGTATAATGCACTCTTTTTGGTGCACAGATTTTCCTGTATTATATCCTTCGCTAAGGTGTTAGTCATTTCCTTGTATGTGAATTTGATGATTTGCTTGTGGAATTAGCGAATTCCTTTCGTTCCTTTTCATTGCCTTTTATTAACTCAATTTGACGATTGTAATAGTTAATTGGTCTTTCCGTGATAGCAATGTGATTTAGATTGTCTTCCTGTGCGCTATGTACAGAATGAATCTGATCTCTCAGCTTTATTTTACGTGGCGGTTCCTCAGGGAGGGATTTCAACCACGGCGTCTAATGTTTATTTGCATCTTAGCCTCGATTAGTGCGATATATATACATATATCACGCCATCACGCACCACCGCTACATACGCAGGAACCTGGTACAATGCGCCAGTTAGCGCCCCTAAAAAGAACCTATAGCTATGTACATAGCGACTCTTCTGGTACCAATTGAAAGTATCCTGGTCGGGCATACAATCCCCCTTGGTGAGGGGCGAGGTGTATCTAACACGTCTTCCGATCTATGGGTCTCGGCACCCGGTTGAGAGCGCAACTCCACGAGGAGCCTAGCGGCTCTCCCCGCGTAACGTTTGGGTATCAACCACAGCCACCACGATACTCCCACTAGGGGGCCGACCTCAATGTGCAGCCTTGGAACTGCATAACCCGTGGTACCGATCTTAAGGACTCAGCTCGATCCTCCCTTTTAGCCCCGACCGGCCTGGATAGGGAATCCACCCAGCCTGTGCGCCGCTTGCGCATTCAGCAGCTGCTGTCGCCTGGAGAACGCCAGTCCGGCGAACCTGTCGAGAATCCGCATTCTCTCCTGAGAATCCGTCACATCGGAGAAGGTCCAGTCGCCATCCGTGTACTGCACTCCAAGTCCATCGAGATCTCGCAAGTCTATATAGAGGGGACAAGCACATAGGAAGTCCTGCCAATCCTCGCGTTCTGCGCCGCATAGACATGCTGGCGTGTCGCTAAGGCTTCTTCCATGCAGAAATGCATTGAGCGATCCGTGGCCCGTCAGCAGGAACCCAGCGCGCAGCGTGAAGCCAAACCTTCGTTCGCTGTAGACGAAGCCTGCGTTCGGCATGAAGCGGTGCGTCACCCGACCTGGGGAGTCACCATCATCCCATCTGCGTTGCCACTCGCACAACAGGTCTTCGTCTAGTCGCGCCATCTTCTGCTTCCAGCTAAGATTTGCCAAATCTTCGCCGAACAGCCAATCGCTCTCCTCCAGCGGGTAGTCACGCTTTAGTTTGAAGCTGATTGCCAGGCGTCTGGCAACCAGATCAAACGGGGGGGCTCCAGCTAGTACTTGCAGCGCCATGGTGGACACTGTTCGGCATACCGGTAGGCATCCAATCAGGACGATCCTTTGGCACGCAAGCGGATGCCTCCTGGCAACCACTTGCGTCGTCGTCACGACAGACCAAGCCGAGGCACCAAATAGTGCACAGGGCACCATGAGTCCGGCATATATTGTCCGCTTTGCGCGGGGACTGAGTCCCCAGTCGAACCGCAGTACGCGCGACAATGCCCCTACGACTCCGGTCATCACGCAAGCCCGTGATGTGCGGGAGAAAACTCAACCGCTCGCCGACCGTGATGCCTAGGTACCGATACTTGCGCTTATATGGCAGGCTTGCTCCAGCAAACCGTACCACTGGCGGCCGTCTAAGTATGCCTTTGAGCAGCATGATCGCCGTCTTGCTAGTTGAAACGGCAACGCCGACTTCAACTCCCCAAGCGCCTACGATGGACATTAACTCACCTCCTTTTTGATCGAGCTCTGATCGGGCATTCCCTTCGATGAGGAGGAGCAAGTCGTCAGCATACGCGCTGAGCGCACCAAGGGGCTCTAAGCGCTGGAGTAACACGTCCATTAAGATGTTCCATATAAATGGACCACTTATGGACCCCTGCGGGCAACCTCATGTCACCGGAACAGTGGCTACTCCATGCATCCTCCACACAACGTCCTTGGCGAAAGCCAAATTGCCATCTGCAGCCATCCGGAATGGTGTCCTTCGGACGATTCACCATGATGCCCTCAAGCACTTTGCCCAGCACTGGCAACAGACAGATACCCCGATATGAGGTAGGATCGGTCCGGTCCTTATCGGGTCCCTTCAGGAGTGGAACCACCCTAGGATGCTTCCATTCCGTTGGGAAGTACCCTGTCCCCAGGCAGCGGGAATACATCGCTGTCATGTGCTGAGGAATGGCACGCGACAATGCCTTGCAAATGGCACCTGTGATGCCGTCCATGCCGGGAGAGCGTCTGCTCTTCAACCTGGCGACG